TGATCCACCCAGCTCTCTGGCCTCATGTTTCTTTCCATAGTCCATTTACTAAGAATGCACCTGAAGCCCACCCTGGTTTCTCATACTTTGAGGAGTCCAAATGCTCTTCCTTACTCTCAAACTCAGAAGCCTCTTGATTGCTGACCATGCTTCAAAGGAAGTTACTTCCAAGACCCCTAGTGTAAGCCTAGCAGGACTGGTATTGCTCACAGTGCAGCTTTGCTACGGTCTGTCCAGGAAACACAAAAACTATAGGATCTTATCCACTTCTCAGTCTCAACCTCCGGAATGTCCATCTTGGTCTAGAAAGAATAATTTTAGCATTTTGTTTGACCTCAAAATGATTCTTCGACTGATCAAAGAAGTCTCAGCTTTTGACATTATTATGATGATTCTAAACACTCATGAGGTCCAGCACATAAGTTAATCAAGTTTTTAAGAAGTTCTGTTTCACGCCAACTCTAAGAGCGGAGCGCCTGTGGCGTCTGCTCGCAGACGGCTGCGCATCAACCTTGTGTCAAAGCTCCTTCTCAGTGCTGTCTTTTCTTTGAAAGACAGAGGCACATCCTCAGGGCCACAGAACCAGTTTGTTCTTACTCTAACGTCATTGTTGCCTTAGACTTTGGTATGTGTTTAGTCACGTAAGACCTTTCCATTATCAATGCAGCCTGATTCTGCACTCATTATTTGAATGAGAATCCACACATAGAAAAGATTTTATCAACGTGGCTTCTAAAATGTCTTTGAAGCATGTGAGACCTTACTACTCTAGATACAGCATTACATCCCCATAGGTGGTCGTCATCCTGGATCGAATGGCATGTTTAAGAGAAAGTTGACACCTTTGAAATCTTACTTAGGAAATAATTCCTCGGCCAAATAAAAGGTACACATTTAAATAATTTATTTGAATAGTACAAAAAATCTACTGAAATAAGAACCCTCTCTTCTCATTCTCCCCTTCCTTCATTGCCATCATAGCTTATCCTGGCTTTAATAATTTGTACAGAAAGGGCGACATCTGGAGCCAATTTAAGATAGCTTTATCATCTTTGCAGCTTACTTAACTTGCTCAATGAAATTAATTTATCACCGAAGCACTTCCTAGAGGGAAGACTATACATTAAAAACATTGAACAAAATTTTCTTACGCCCTCAATTTTCCTGAATTTATCCCAGTCACTGGGCACCTAAAGAATAGCTCTAAAGACAACCACACAGGGTTTGGAGACTGGGGCATGGATATTGGTAGTGTAGGCCATCCTGGCTCTGAGAACGAATCTGTTTTTCTTGGTTAAAGCTAGCAAAACATTTCTTGCCAGAAGTTGGAGAGATAGCAGAAGGTTTAAGTCAAAATGGCTTTGGTTTGGCCCTGGCCAGAAGTCGGGGATACCACAAAGAAGTTCTACTGTTTTTTCTTGATTTGTTTGTTTGTTTTATGTTTCTTGCCTTAAATGAGTACCCCTTAGAGTGAGGATGTGACTGAAGCTGAGAGCCACCTGGAAACGTAAATGGACCAACTGGACTAGCCAGTTCATTCCCTGCCCAATGCCCCCATCCAGTAAAGTCATGTTCCCTCTGAGGCAGTGGCCCCAATAGTACACTGTTTCTGGGGACCCATACCGGCTGGACCGTTATTCTCTTCCTCTTCCTTTTAAGGGCTGATCTATGGATCTGTGGTAAACTTCTTCTTAAGTTCACCCTCTGTGGTCTGTGGTTTTCATTCTTTGAATTTATAGGTTAAGAACACAGAGGTCACCAACTCAGAAGTTATTTTATGTGACTGAGGATTCAGAAGCTTCACATCCATTTAAAGCCAAAAGGCAAGAGGAAAGATCTTCAAGTTCAAAGAAACCCCATATTTCCATATCAAGGTCTGTTGATGAAATTAAGACCTTTTGGTTGAATGAGCTGTATGCTGGAGCTCATGGGGGTTTCTTAGACTTGAAAACTACGTATTGACTGTAGTGCAGACACGACTAGGTTGGAGAAAGTAACAAAATGTTGTAGAGTCAGTCCTTGTCCTAGCCAGGTGCTCACGCTTGTGTCTGTCAGCGGCATTTAGGATAGTCCTTGCATGGACACAAGGTATGGAAATATAAAATGAGGTCATGCATGGCCTTAGACTGGACAGCCTTCATGGGTCACGATGTAAAACTTTGAGGGGAAGGAATCTGTGACATTTGACTGAGAATAAGAGTTTGAGGAACTTCTCAGTGTGAATATACAAAGCTGGGAACAATGTTTTGTACCTTTGTACCACATCTTCTGTTTCAGTTTCAGTGGTAACTCTTCCTGAACTAGCCTATACTTATTGTGTGCTAGGTTCCTGCTCTCTGAGCTAGCCCACACCCACTGTGTGCTAGGTTCCTGCTCTCTGAGTTAGCCCACACCCACTGTGTGCTAGGTTCCTGCTCT